AAGGTTTGAAGAACCTATTTTAAATTGGCGGCATTTCTTTTAAAGTGAGCTGTCTTAAAATTATATATTATTTACTTTTTAAAATTTATGGAGCCCTTTTCACTGTGAACCTTTATATATATATATATATATATATAAGAAACAAAAACGAAAAAATGTGTGCATATGACAAACATATACAAAACCGATGGACGTTTTTACCAACATTTTAAAACTTGTATTTATGCTCATGGAAATATATATATTTTTTACATTTTTCTTGTGTTAGTTTTGTGGAGGCCTTCAACAAAGTAGTCCTTATGAGAAACAATTGAATTTTATTTGACTTATGGTTATATACGAAAATTTTGGGGCCATTTTGCAACTGAGGCCTAAAGTCATTGCTTCAATTGCTTTAGGCTTTAACCGGCCCTGTTTTGACCCTGTCCGCGGATCATTTATGATAGAGGTCATTCAACTATTAGGTCACTCAACATGTTGTCTAAAGTCACTAAAAAAATTGCAAAAAATTCTTATTGTTGAAGGATTTGAATTTTCAATGGCCCTGTAAAATAAGGTCTAATTTTAACAATTAGCCTAAAGTTTCAAAAGAACCTTGGACCGTTATTAATTTGTGAAAAATAAATCAAATTGATCTCATAATTAAATGATGTTATTATTATTATTATTATTATTTTGTACTTTGATTAATTTCAAAAAAGAAAATTGATAGAATCCCTAAATATTTTACCAAAAAATTTAAGCATTTAGTAATTTTTTTGATAAAATATTTAGCATCCCTAACATTGTTGTTCAACAAATACAACTGAAGAGTTTGATAAACTTAGGCCTCGTTTGGAAACATGCTATTTTAGTAAATTTTTGGCTTTTTAGCTAAAATATGGAGTAAAAAAAATTATATGTTTGGAATGATATTTTGATTTTTTACGAAAAGATGTGTAAAAAGTAAAGAGAAAAGAGAACATTTGACTTTTTGACATAGGTTATAGGCTTTTTGATTTTTTTTAAGGGCTTTGATAGAGACCCCCTCCAATCACCATCCCCACCACCGCCACACACACGTGGCGGGTGGTGATTGGAGAAGAAGGAAAAAGAAAAAAGAAAAAACTAGCCAATCATGTTGAGAGGGGGTCAAAGGGGGTGGGGGGGAAAGGGGGTCTGGAACATTTTTCTTTTTTTCAATAATTTTTTTGGCTTTTAAACTAAAACTATTATTTCCCAAATGAGACCTTAATCAGACTAGGCAAGTACATGAAACTCAAATTTTGTAAACCCAAATAAATGGTATAAAAGTTGTTTAATTTTGAATTTTTAAGGTAGATTTATGAAAATGGTTCCACTTCTAGTTGGCAAACTTAAATGGACCATTCAATTTGGGTTTGTGGCCTATTACTCTGGGAGCAAGATCATATGGTGTTTTATGGTATTATAATTGGTGAAAAAAGTATAGTATTATAAGTTTATATTAGGTGATTGAGAAAAATCAGGAAGCATGGTGAATGATGAAATAATTTAGACACTATAAAAAATTGAGGTTTTCGAGACCAAAATTATTTTTTAGGGGCCTAATATTTTTGTTGCGAAAAGTGTCGTTATTATATTTTTTGCAACAAAAATTAGACATTAGTGATAAATTATTATCTTTTTTGGACCAAATTTTTTGTGTCAAAAAATAAACTATTTTGAGACTAAATTATTTTGTCCCTAAAAGTGTATTTATTAGTTACATTTTCAAAATTTTTTTGCTAACAGCCTTATTTTTTACTTTTCGGGACGACCTTTTGGTGACTATTCTCACGACGATAGAAATTGGTCCCTACATGTCTTTTGCAACAAAATTTTTACTTTTAGAGACCAAATTATATGTTGTAATGACACGTGATACTCCAAGAGTACCTATTAATTTTTTCATTATAACTACATCTACGATGATTATGCCTACTCATTTTTTAGGATTCTATGTGTTGGTTGGTAAGAGTATATCTCCAGCTCAAGCAATATATATCCAGCTCAAGCAAGTAGAACCCATGAATGAAAATAGGATTCATGCAACCAACCCACTTAAGCGAGACATAATTTACTCAAACGAGTATCGATCCTTGTTCATCTTCTTTCTCACATTATATTCTTGAGTTCGAGTTCTTGAATTTGTTTCAATGGCTTCTCTTCCTCCTAATCTCACACTTCTGATTTCAAGTCTCAATTCTTTTGTTACTATCAAATTGGATTCTACAAATTACATTGTTTGGAAAACACATCTCCAAAATATACTCAGAGCCATGAATGTCCTCTGCTATGTGGACGGTACTTTTGCTTGTCTATCTGCAACGATCACAGATTCAAAAAGTAAAGATATGATCAATTCTGAATTTCTGAGTTGGACACAAATTGATTCACATTTGCTGAGCTGTATTACAGTAACTCTAACTCCCACGGTGTTTACATCTGTGTTTCATTACAAAAGCTATCAAGAAATCTGGAAGTATCTTGATAAGCGCTTCACGTCACTCTCCAAATCTCACATACACCAACTCAAGAACAAACTTAGTAGTATCATGAAGAAATCTGAGTCCATGGAAGAATATCTTGCTCAGATCAAGAGTCTTGCTGATCAGCTAGCACTTGCTACCTCTCCTATTGAGGATAAGGATCTAGTCTTGATTACTCTAAATGGCTTTCCATCTGAATATAATGCTTTAAAAGTAGTTATTCGAGCTCGATCAGAGGCCATCGCTGTGGAGGATCTTGCTTCTCTTCTCTGTTCAAAGGCTTTGCATATTGAGGTCAATCGTAAATCCTGTTCTTCAAATCTTACTTTTGCTTACACTGCAACTAGAAATGAGACTTCAAACAGGTCATCTTCTTATCAGATTGGGAGTCGTGGAAATATATCATCATACAGAGGCTCTTCTCATAGAGGAGGAGGTAGATATTTTTCTAAAAATACTTTCAATCGAGGTTGAGGAGGAAGATCTTCATCGTTCCATCATCCATCACATTTATCTTCCTCTTCTTTGGTCTGTCAGATTTGTGGCAAACCAAACCATACTTATCTTGAATGCTGGCACAGATTAGATACTTCCTATCAAACACCAACTCCAAATCCATCTCCTGACAAACCTGCTTTTCTTTCATCTTCATCTCCTTCTTCCTCTAATTGGTATGTGGACTCTACTGCCACAAATCATGTAACTCCCGATCTTAATAATGTCCAAGTCTATAGTCCCTATCATAGCCAAGATCATGTGATTGTTGGAAATGGTAGTCATCTTCCTATTCACAACACAGACAATGGTATTCTTCCAACCCCATCTTTTCCTTTCAAATTGACTAATGTTCTTTATGTTCCACATATTTTATCTAATCTTCTCTCAGTTCATAAATTGACTTCAGATAATAATTTCACTGTTACTTTTGATGACAAATCATTTGTGGTTCAGGACAAGACTACCAAGATACCTCTCTTCAGAGGTATTCATAGTCAAGGCCTTTATCACTGGCCTTCATCTTCTTCACACATTTCATCACCATAGCATTCTTCAGCCTTCTACTCCTGTTGTTTCTGCTTTGCCTGTAGTGGTTCAGTTTGCTTGTGGCCAGCCTGCTGTTATTCAGCCTACCCCTTGGCCAGCCTGCTATTGCCACTGTCTTCCTTGGTCTGCTTACCACTGCCTTGATTCTATTTTCGGCTATATCCCCTTCTATTCATATTTCCTCTCTAACTATTGATCTCCCTTTTGTGCATCCTATTGCTGTTTTCCCTGCTCCTTCTCACTCTTCTCTAAATATTCATCCCATGACTACCAGGTCCAATTCTTCGTCTTCTACTCTTCTCTCAACTATTTCTCCTCTTGTTGAACCCACTTGTTTCTCTAGGTTTAAATACTATGTTTTGTTCATTGATGAATTTAGCAAATTTACTTGGGTTTGTCCTCGTTGCTATAAAAGTGAAGTGTTTGCCAAATTTATGGAATTTAAGGTGTTTGTTGAAAATCAATTTGAGACTACTCTTAAAAATTTTCGGACTAATGGTGGTTTGCGAGTACACTAGTTCTTAGTTTGAGATTTTTCTTAGAACACATGACATCATTCATCAAATATGTTGTCCACACACTCTTCCCCAAAATGGAGTTGCCGAGATTACACAGGCATATTGTCACTACTACCATTGCTTTCCTACGGCAATCAGGTCTTCTCCTTGCTTATTGGTTTGATGTTCTTGCTACTTCTGTGTTTCTTATTAATAGGTTGCCCAGTTCTAAACTTCAAAATCAAACTCCTTATGAGGTCCTGTTTCATCATTTCCCTGATTTTGCATTTCTTAAAAGCTTTGGTTGTAGGTGCTTTCCTTGGCTTTAACCCTATTCTTCTCATAAGCTAGCCCCTAAGTCAATTCCTTGTGTCTTCATTGGTTATCACCCCTTTATCAAGGGATATCATTGCCTTGATCCAATTTCTAGCAAAATTTATTTGTCTAGGCATGTCACATTTGATGAATCGACTATAACAAAACTGAGTTTTTACGGCTCCACATTAACGACATACAGTAAATGCAAGCCGTGGTTTCTCACTTTTACGACTTACTTTTTTTGCATGTTGTAAATAATTTTCCAACCATGACAAGTCTATTGCGTAGGCTGTAAATGCTAATAATGAAGATTTTTTTACGGCTTGCAATGTTAGCCGTAACTAATAAAACTTTTTATGACGTGCATATGGCATGTCGTTAATACATTAACTATACACGTAACTATACACGACACGCATATACCAGCTGTTAAAAATATTGAACATTTCACGGCGCACAAAAAGCCAGCCGTTAAAAATTACACTTTCCACGATGCACGAAGGCTAGTCGTTTAAAATATTACACTTTCCACGACTTGCAATTGCTGTCGTGAAAGGTACGACCAAAAAAAAAATAGCGCCAAAATAAAAATTTTGAGTGCCAAACACCAAAAAAATTTAAAAAAGAAAAGAAAAAGAAAACGATCGAAAGCCCTCTTCATTCCCAAACCAAAAGCCCCAACTCCTTATATCACAGATTCATATTATATTTTTTTCCCCAAACCAAAACCTAATCTCTCAGTAGCAGCCTCTCTCTTCTAGATCGTTCTTTGATCTCTCATCTCTCTCTTTGGCAATTGGTGAGGCCGGTGGTCAAACTTGCAGCAAAACCTCCAGCTACGACATAGTTGTCGTCACTCTTTCACTCTCTTCTACTCGTTCTTTCCTCTCTTCTTCATCAACACCTCTGGATTGGTTGCGGCTCCACACCATTGAGGTCAGTCAAATCAAAGACTCACTTGTGGAAGATTCTGAAGTTAAGCAATAGACTCACCTGTTCGGTTCGGTGAGCCTTTTTATCATCATCATGTATGTTTCTATATAAGTAGAACCCAAACAGCAATAAAAAATTCTCTCTTCCTTTTCTTCAATTGAGAGAAGCTCTGGAATTGTATTGGGTTTGTGTCCATTGACGATAATGTGGTGCAGCGGGTATTCTAAGAAGGGGGTCGAGATTTCTACCAACAACCCTCTAGTTCTTCATCTTCATCTTCAATCATCCAATCCCTACCTCTTCATGTGGTATGCAAAATTAAAAAATTTCTTTCTTTTAATCATTCTTGTGTCTGTTCTGCATCTGGGTTTCTTCAAGTTTTTGCAGATGTTTGATTCACTTTTTGTTTTCACTTGAAATTTGAATTTGTTCATCTGGGTTTTCTTGCATATGTACATATTAGTTGGAGAATACCCATTTGAGAATTTCTAAGAATTAGATGTAGATTCTTTATGTGTTGGTGGTATTTTGGTTCCAATGGTAGGAAATTAAATATGAGACTACTTTGAGAAATCGGTGTAAAATTGTTTAATTATAATTGGGTTATGTTGAACGCAATTTCATGATAATTGACACCCATCTCAGGATTATTAGAATTTAGGATCTCTTAAAAGTGAAGCAATTTTTTGAGATATACTGAAAGTATGTCTCTGATTTTGCTGTTCTTTTATTGATTTTTAATTGCATTGAAGAATTCAAAATACCCATTTGAGAATTTCTGAGAATTAGGTGTGGATTTTCTTTGTATTGGTGGTATTTTGGTTTGAATGTAGGAAAAATTAAATGTGAGACATTTTTGAGAAATTGCTGTAGAATTGTTTGTCAATTAATTAATTTTTTTTATTTGGTTATGTTGAACGCAATTTCTTGATATTTAAGACCCATCTCAGGATTATTAAAATTTTGGTTCTATTGAAGGTGAAACACTTTTTTTGAGATATACTGAAAAGTGTGTCATTGATTTTGCTATTCTTGTATTGTACTTTTTAATTTCATTGAAGGTAATTTCATGAATCCTGTACCCACTTCTGATTTTCTGAGAACTTGGTGTGGATTGTATAGATTGGTTTAAGTGTTACTGAGTTTAATTTTTCTAAATTAAGCCTTTAAGCTCTTTAGGGATTTGTGGTAAATGCTATACAATAATATAGACATAGGGGTTAACAAGGAAGCCATTTTTTAATGTTTGGGATCCACTTGAGACTTGGCGAGCATTTGGTTTGGGTGTTGTTGAGTGATATTCGTTAACAGATAATGTTTTCATTTTGGGCTTTCTTTGGTTATATTTTAGCGAGTAATACTACGAACCGAGACTTATCAACCCAGAAATTATTCAGAATTATCAACTTGTGGTTTAGATTTATTCTACACATGAACCTCACACTATTCAAATTTAATCTTCATCACACAACACACAAGTTATGTCTGGGAGAGTAGCTTTTCTCTATTTTAGAAGGCCTCTGATGATGAATTGGAAATCATATTAGTTTTCTTGAAAATCAATTGGGTGTATAATGAGAATTTGTATTATGTGGGTTCATTTTCCTGAGAAATTATGAATTAGATTTTCTGCAGCCTTGAAGCTGCTGTTTTTGCAGAAATTCTGTACTTTTAGGTAGTGTTTGGTTTATTGGAATGAAGTGGAATGGAATGATCATTTCCTCAAAATATTCATTCTCATGTTTGGTTAGACTAAAAATATAATGACAAATGCATTACAAATAGAATTGTCTTTCACTATGTTAAGGGAATGGTCATTCCATAAGAAAGTCTAAGGAATCACCATTCCATTTCATTCCAATGAACCAAATAGAGCATTATTTATGTTCTTTTTCAAAGACCCTCTTGTGTTGTTTCACCTGGAGAAAGTGATAGATATTGTTTGTTATTTGGAAATATTTCACAAAGTGTTCTAATCGTGTGGTTTGGTGGGCATGAATTAAGATGGGTATTGAAGTGCTTACTAGTATGTCCTTAAAGTGGCTTTGAGGAAGAAATTGGTGGTTACTTGTAGCTTGTTATAGTGCATATATGATTTATGGTTAAACACACTGCTTAGGCTTGCAACTTCTTGTCATGCGTCTCTTTTAAGTGTTGTTGGACTCCCTAAGGTTGTGTTTGGATTAAGGATTTGACTAGGGATTTGGAAATGGAAAGAAAAAGACGAGTAAAATGTGAAGGAAATATTAGCTAATTTTTTTTCTCAATTTCCCTCAAATTTTCCTTTCCCCTTCCAAATCCCTACCAAAATCCATGATCCATAGGGTAAGTTTCTCTTTGGAAGAGGAAAATCCTTTGAGATAACATTTCAGTTGGGAAGTTCTTCCTTTCATTTCTTTGTCTTTGTCTTTTTCTTTTGTAAAGATGTAATCTTTATTCTTTTATTTTCCATGTAAAATGTGTGATACCAAGCCGAGTGCCCTATGAAAGGGATTAAGATGCATTCTAAGTACCAAAAAAGACAAGGGTCCCTTGTTGTGTGAAACAGTTATCTAGTTTTTTGTTTTTTTTGTATGACTAGTAATTTATTTGGAAGACAAGGCCCATTTATAAGCCAATGTGCAATAAAGAGAAAAGTACTCAAATCGAAGAAAAAATTATCAATAATGTCAACCAAGAACCATCTCTCTCTCTCTCTCTCTCTCTCTCTCTCCAAGCTTTTGGAGGAACTCAAAGGGAAAAGCTTTCTGAGCAAAATAAGCTTCATGTTTACATCCTTACATAATCTTGTTTCCTCTTGCCCCTAAATTGTACCTCTCTGCTTATTTTGTACTCTTCTTTTGCAAAGAACACTACTCCTTGTATGATTTATTGTTCCATAAAACTCTATGCTACATTTTATTACTAGATCATGGACCTTCCAGTCGAAATCTTCATGTTAAAGTAGAATTTATAGTTGCAATAGTATGCTTCAAGTTTTGCTTCTTTGTGAATTTGCTCTTTTTTTCCCCCCTCATAAAAGTTTTCTTAATGAACAGGTTATGGGCTAGCTGGGTATGCTTTATTTGTAGCAGTGTATGCTGGCTTAGAAGTAAGAACTTGCCCTCTCTCTAAAGCATAATATGTTTACAAGGCTTCATTAATCTATCACTAACATCCATCATGTCATCCTTTAGGAGGTTCATGTTAAAAATAGTAAATGTTGTGTCTTTGTTTCTCATATCACAAGCTAAAAACAGTTGAATGAATTTCATTTATCATTTTATTTCAAGTCACAAATTCTCAGCAGATCTAAACGTGAGAATTATCTTAAATTTCTATAAATAGTCCCTTTAATCATAAACAATATCCAGCATGTGCAGAGTTCCATTATAATATATGTATGATTTTTTTTTTTTTAATTCAACTTTACTGACACTTTGACTAATATGTTTTCCTAGATCCTTGCAATACCAGCTATCCCGTTAACCATGTTAGCTGGTCTGCTATTTGGTTATATTATTGGCACTATCATTGTCTCTATTAGTGGAACGGTAAGTTGGAAGTTTTGCCAGTATGAAAGAACAAATTTTAAGGAAATGGGGTGTACTTGAACTTGTATCTTCTTTCCCTTTCAGGTGGCTGCAAGCGTTTCCTTTCTAATTGCCAGATATTTTTCCCATGATCGTATTCTTAAATTGGTGGAAGAAAACAAGAAATTTCTTGCGATTGACAAGGTAATTGGAGAAAATGGTTTTAGAGTTGTTACGCTTCTCCGTTTGAAGCCTTTGCTTCCTTTCTCTCTTGGAAATTATTTATATGGACTTACATCAGTGAAGTTTGTTCCATATGTGTTGGGAAGGTTTGCTTCTTGTATATATTTATGGGAAAGAGCAAAAAAATATTTGTTCGGATCAAATCTTCAAATTTGTGTGGAGGCAACCATGATGATCTTCAAATTTGTTGATGTTTTAAAATTTCTTGATCATTTCTTAATACCCTAAGAAATATTTTTGTCCCTGAGTCGTTAGTTTTTGTACTTATGTGAAGTTTCCTTTGTCATGCAGACAAGAAATGCAACAGGGTTAGTTGATCCAGCTATTGCCGTGAGTATAGGTGCCTTAACATATACATTGGGCACCCTCGTCCCTATGATAAGAGCAAGTGGATTTGCTACAGCTGCACCTGTAACTGCTATAAAACTGTTGCCGGTAGTTTTAGATAATCTCTCAATAGTTATCGATATGTTTAGAAAGCTAGATATGCATAGTTTTGGGTGGTTTAAACTTTTTGTACAGTTTAGAACTTAAAGATATAGTTTTCGAATCTTTAGAATGTATAGACAATTGTTGATTGTTTATTATTTATGGATATAGTTTCTTTTTGATGTTTCAAACAATATTTTGGTGGTTGATTGATATTTTGTGATGCTTGTTTGTAATATTTGTTAGATTGTACAAAACTGGTCAAATAGAACTTGTTGAATTTAAAAATAAAAAAACTGCATATTCTACGGCAGGCATAATAAGTAGTCGTATTACATATTTTATGGCGCGCAATCAGCGTCGTTATTTGTCTTACCAATTAACGACGTACAAAATCTGCCGTTAAATAGTTTTTAACGACGTACCATAGTATGTCGTAGAAAAAGTAATAACGACGCACAAAATCTGCTATTAAATAGTTTTTAACGGCGTACGAAACATGTCGTTGAAAGTGAATGACTTTCCATGACTAATCATAATATGACGCGCACTGCACGTCGTAAAAGAGTTTTTACGGCATGCATTGTGCGCCATTTTCCTTTTTTTACTCCATCTATTTCTACCTCTACACATAACTCTACCCCTACTCCTCCTCAACTACACTCCTTTTTCTAGTCCTCTTTCTAGTCTGCTCCTGCTTCTGTTTAGCCATCTGCGGTATCAATTCGGCTTCTGTTCTTTGCTTTCAGCCTTCTACTCCTTCTGTTTCTGCTTTGCCTGCAGCAGTTTAGTTTGCTTTTGGCCAACCTGCTGCTGCCACTGTCTTCCATGGTCTGTCTGTTACTGCCTCTTCTCCATCTTCTGCTGTCTCTCCCTCTATTCCTATTTCCTCTCTAACTATTGACCTCCCTTTTGTGCATCCTATTCCTGTTTTACTTGCTCCTTCTTACTCTTCTCTAAATATTCATCCCATGACTACCAAGTCCAAGTCTTTTTCTTCTTCTGCTCTTTTCTCTACTATTTCTCCTCTTGTTGAACCCACTTGTTTCTCTGGGTTTCAATACTATGCTTTGTTCATTGATGAATTTAGCAAATTTACTTGGGTTTATCCTCTTTGCTATAAAAGTGAAGTGTTTACCAAATTTATGGAATTTAAGGTGTTTGTTGAAAATCAATTTGAGACTACTCTTAAAAATTTTCAGACTGATGGTGGTGGCAAGTACACTAGTTCTCTGTTTGAGATTTTTCTTAGAACACATGGCATCATTCATCAAATGTGTTGTCCACACACTCTTCTCCAAAATGGAGTTGTCTAGAGAAAACATAGGCACATTGTCACTACTACCATTGCTTTGCTACAGCAATCAGGTCTTCCTCTTGCTTATTGGTTTGATGTTCTTGCTACTTCTATCTTTCTCATTAATAGGTTGCCCAGTTCTAAAGTTCAAAATCAAACTCCTTATGAGGTCATATTTCATCATTTCCCTAATTTTGCTTTTCTTAAAAGCTTTGGCTGTTAGTGCTTTCCCTGGCTTCAACCCTATGCTTCTCATAAGCTAGCCCTTAAGTCAATTCCTTGTGTCTTCATTAGTTATCACCCCTCTATCAAGGTATATCGTTGCCTTGATCCTATTTCTAGAAAAATTTATTTGTTTAGGCATGTCACATTTGATGAATCACTTTTACCTTTTCTTACTCCATATATTTCTGACTCTACCCCTACTCTTCCTCAACTACACTCTTTTTTTTGGTCCTCTTTTCAGACTGCTCCTGCTTCTGTTCAGCCATTTGTTGTATCAATTCAGTTATCTGTTGTTTCCTTTCAGCCTTCTACTCCTGTTGTTTCTGCTTTGCCTGCATTAGTTCAATTTTTTTGTGGCCAGTTTGATGTTGTTCAGCCTACTGCTGCCCTTGGCTTGCCTGCTGCTGCCATTGTCTTCCCTGGTCTACTTGCCACTGCCTTGTCTCCATCTTCGGTTGTCTCTCCCTCTATTCCTATTTCCTCTCTAACTATTGATCTCCCTTTTGTGCATCATATTCATGCTTTCCCTGCTCCTTCTCACTCTTCTCTAAATATTCACCCCATGACTACCAGGTCGAAGTCTTCTTCTTCTTCTTCTTATTCTTCTTCTTCTTCTTCTTCTTCTTCTTCTCTTCTCTCTACTATTTCTCCTCTTGCTGAACCTACTAGTTTCTCTGAAGCTGCTCTAACTCCTGAATGGTCCAAGCCATGCAAGAGGAATTTTAAGCCTTACAAGCCCAAGGAACTTGGTCTCTTGTTCCTCATCCCCCTCACAAGCAAGCTATTGGCTGTAAGTAGGTTTTTCGCTTGAAGAAAAATTCTGATGGCTCCATTGCTTACCACAAACCTTATCTTGTGGCTAAGGGCTATCTCCAACAGGAAGGCATTGATTATCACGAAACGCTTAGCCCTGTCGCCAAGCAACCCACAGTCTGAGTTCTCCTTAGCATTGCCCTTCACTTTAATTGGTCCATTAAATAATTGGATATTTCAAATGCTTTTCTTCATGGTCTTTTTCAGGAAGAAGTTTATATGGTGCAACCTCCAGGTTTTGAAAGTTCTTCTTCTCCTCATCATGTGTGCAAATTGAAAAAGGCTCTCTATGGGCTTAAGCAAGCTCTTTGCGCTTGGTATTTGACTTTTCCTCTTATCTTGTCTCCTCTGGCTTCACAAATAGTCATTGTGACTCTTTCTTGTTCATACAAAGAACTTCTACCACTGTTACTTTTCTTTTGATCTATATGGATGATATTTTAGTTACTGGGAATAGCGCTGATCATATCACTTCTCTTATTCATTATATGCACAAGCCTTCTCCATGAATGAATTGGGTGATATTTCTTATTTTCTTAGTATATCCATAGCTCGCATTGCCTCTGGTTTGTTTCTCTCTCTGCCCAAATATCCCACTGATATTCTCTACAAGGCTGGTATGATAATTTGTAAACCATGTTCTTCTCCCATGGCATCTAAATCCAATCCTCTTTCAGATACTTTGGTGACCTTTTCTCAGCTGTCTCTGTATCGTAGTATTGTGGGGGCCTTACATTTTATGACTTATTCACCCAAGAAAAAAAAATGGTGTACTCTTCACTTCTGGCTCTTTAGATTTGCATGTTTTTTCTGATTCGGATTGGGCCAACGATGTTCTTGATCGTAAATCTACCATTGGCTATTGTGTCTTTCTCGGCCCTAACTTGATTTTATGGTCTGTGAAGAAACAATCAACTATTTCTCGGTCCTCCACTGAAGCAGAATACAGGGCACTTGCTCAAGCTTCAGCTGAACTTCAATGGATTCACATGCTTCTACAAGAACTTTCTCTTTCTTTTGCCACTCTTGTTTTATGGTGTGACAACCTTTCCGCTATTTCTCTTGCCTCTAATCCTGTTTTCCATGCTCTCACTAAGAACATCGAGGTGGATTATCATCTCATACAGGAGCAAGTTCTTTCTCACAAAGTTATGGCTAAACTTGTGCCTTCCTCTGATCAGGTGGTTGACTTATTCACCAAACCCCTTCCCGTGGCTCAATTTTCTTATCTTCTTCCCAAGCTTATGGTGCATTCCTCACCCATTCGCTTGCGGGGGTCTGATAAGAGTATGTCCCCAGCTCAAGCAGTATATCCCCAGCTCAAGCAAGTAGAACCCACAAATTAAAACAGAGGATAACTTCCATGTTTGTTAATAGTTGGTTAGGTTGCACTCTTGTATTATAAATACTCATGTACTGGTTTGTTGTGAAATAAGATAGAAGATTTCATTTTCTCATCATTGGTTACGTATCAAAAAAATAATTTAATAATTGTAGTCACATAATTTTATCAGATTAGTGTTGTAATAGTTTTTTAAATCATATGTATCATTCATTTATTTGAGAAGAAATATAAATGATATCATGTGATTATCTTATCAAATCTTTATCTTTCATATTTTTTAAAAATAGTGCCTAAAAAATAAATAAAGTAGATTATCGAAGTGAGAAGATGGTCTAATCAATCCCACCAAGGAGACAAAATGGACTCTTAAAATAAAACAAGCTCTAGCATTGTGAATTGAAAATTTCAATAAACAAAATAATATTTTCTAATCACAATATATATAATCATCAGTAAATATTCTTCATAGAATTTAATTAGAATCTTTCAAATATCAAAATAATTCCATTCACCTTGTTCGAAACCATTTATAAAATATTTGGCAGCCTAACTAATTGATAATAAAATAAAAATAAATATTCAAAATAAAAAAAAAAAACAAATTTTTTTTTACATTTTCTAATGTTACATCTTTTGCTTGCCCTCTCTTTGAGTCCTTGTATCACTAGAAGTGGATACATTCAACTTTTGCACTTTGTCATCACCAAAGCCAAGTTCACTTTTATCAAACCCCATCTATTACGTACCTATGTGTAGCTCAACTTTTTCGGGCCCCGTTTCGGAAGTTTGAAACAAGCCCTACAGTTCAGACTCTCGTGGTTCTGAATTTGATTCCACAAGTGCAATGTGAAATAGATAATCACCAAAGAGTCTAAATCCGGCAAATCTTTTGAAAAATCGATTTTGAATCAAATTGCCAAAAATGGACTGCTTTTCCAGATACAGAGTCACCACCTAAATATTTTATTTTGTGGAAATTTAGGAAACCCATGACTCATGCCAAAGGCCACGTGTCCGTCATCACCAAGATTGTCTCGGCTAAGGAACTTGGGTACGAGAGGAGAAGGTCATGAATTGAGCCCCCCCGTTCGCCCGATCAAAGATCGACCTCTACTAATCATGATATGATTCTTATCAACATTATATGCTCTTGTTCCGGTTTGTTAGGCTAGCATTTACTATGTAATGCACACACACAAGTATAGACTAAATTACAAGAATTAGAACATCTTGAGTCATGTTTGCTTTGAAAATTGTTTCAAAATATGTACCACTTGAAAAAGTGATTGCATATGAACATTACTCAAATCATCCCAATCCAAGCAATAAGCCTTCATCCACAGGCATACAAGCAGTTTAGCACTTAAGCAATTAGCCCCATGGCAAACATGCTAGATATGGCAACAATCATACACATGTGATTATGCTAAAGCAAATAAAAACTTATCTAGTACTCCAAGCCAAAACAAACAAAAGAGTTAGAAAAAAATGCATGAGTCCTAGCT